GACCGTGTGTTTGAAGTGAGTCTTGCATATCTGCAGAATGATGAAGTTGCATTTGGGAAATCCAAGCTAATCACTAAGGATGCTCAGGCCAAAAACTGCCTGACCAATTTCCATGGCATGGATCTTACCCATGACAAAATGTGTTCCGTGGTCAAAAAATGGCAGACCATGATTGAAGCTCATGATGTCAAAACTACTGATGGCTATTTACTTCGTCTCTCCTGTGTTAGGTTTACTAAAAAATGCAACTATCAGATACAGAAGACCTCTATGCTCAGTATTACCATGTCTGCCAAATCCAGAAGATGATGGAAATCATGACCCAGGAGGTGCAGACAAGGCTTGCCAGTCCATCTACCCTCTCCACGATGTCTTCGTCAGGAAAGTGAAAATGCTGAAGAAGCCCAAGTTTGAATTGGGAAAACCCATGGAGCTTCAAGGTGAAGGTAGTAGCTCTGGAAAAGCTATTGCAGATAAGATGGGCACTAAAGTTGAACGGGCTGCTGGATATTAACCACTAGTCCAAGAATCTGTTTAAATTTCAGAATTTTAATAGTGACAAATGAGTCCTATTTGTGACCCCAAAAAAATGCTATGACATGGAAATAAGTTAACCGGCACATATAAATTGATCAGGGGACTTGGGAGGCAGAGGATAGTGCTGAGAGTGTAAGGAGAATCAGAATGGAGGGAAGAAGGTATTTCTCCAGACTGTTAGCCATATTACCTTGATCAACTCCCTTCTAAAACCTGTTGTTAGTAAAGTAAGGACAATAATCCTGGCAGGGCAGGAAACTGGGAGAGTCAGCTGACCTAACTCCTAAAGAAATGAGGTACAGAGTGCTTACCTTAGCTTGAGGTTTTGACAGCTTTGGAAAGGAGACACCTTCGAACCCATCCAGTACATGTATATTTATGTATCTATCTTGCTCCTAGTTCAAACCTTCAGAATAGCTTTTTTTTTAAGAGGTTTTTGCTATAGGGCGCGTGTGCTCACCAGGCAGACAGAGACAAAGAGACAGAAAGCGAGAAATCACCCCCCCAGGGGGTTTGGCCACACCGCAATCCCTTCTCCTCCATTCTCCTCTCGGGATCTTGGGCACACAACGCACACACACCCAGTGTGAGTTTTAAGCCACTGGATCTGGGACACGAACCAAGGTTGACTACATGGGAGTCCAGTGACGTACCATTACACTAACTGCTGGTCCCTTCCAGAATAGCTTTTTAAATGTTTAACCTTGGTCCAGCAGATGATGTGGTAGTTAAGGTCCTGGATTCCCACATGACAGACCATTGTTCAAGTCTCAGACCTGGGGCTTGAAATTCATGCCAGTGCATATGCACATAACCCCAAATTCCCAAAAGGAGAATGGAGGAGAAGGGATTGTGACATGATCATCCTCCTCGGGTAATGATTTCTCACTTTCCCCCTCTCTGTCTGCCCCTGTCTCTCTTCCCGGAAAATACACACACGCTATGGCAAAACCTAAATAAATAAAATTTAACCTTTGGAGGAAGGTCTGTTTCTTTACTTTTTTTTTTTTTTTTTAAGAATTGTTTTTTATTTAGCTTGCTTGCTTGCTTTATTTATTTATTTTAATTTGACCAGAGAGGGACAGTGTGAGAGAGAGGGAAAGTGAGAAAGCAAGCCACCAGGACCGGGACTCACAGCAGTCAGCAGTCCACCATGTGGGAGTTCAGTGCCCTTAACCACCACACCACCTGCCAGCCCCTAGCTGGTTACTCACATAGATTCTGAATCAATCAGTAAAAGAAAGGGTTTCAAAGTCATATGAGTTAACCCCAGAAGAGGGCACCATTATCCAACAAATGTTTATAAATTGCTTTTGCTAAAGAGAGAAAATGCATGTAAGGTTTCAAAGTGGGAGAAAAATCTTAAGAGGCCAGCAAAGTAGTCATGGGTTTGTCTTTAATATTTCTAATTTTTGTTTCATGAATCTTATTTCTCTTCACCACCCATCTTAGGCAATAAAGGTAACTGTAGATAGGTCATCAAGATGTATTGATTCCCAATTATAAAGCCTTTTCAGGTAACTGTAGTGAGGTATTCAAAGTGTAATGACTCTCAAACTTGTCACTCCCACAGGCTCTTTCCATTGTTTCCTTAGGGATCTGACATTTTGAAACTTTTATCAGCTAAATTGCATTTAGTAATAATTTGTGTGGGACCGGCAGGTGGCGTGGTGATTAAGGCGCTGGACACTCCCACATGGCTGCCAGGGTTCAAGTCCTGAATCTGGTGGCTTGCTTTCTCATTTCCTTTCTCTCTCACTCTCACCCTCTGTCTCTCTCTGGTCAAATTAAGAAATAAATAAATGAATAAATAAAAAAAATAAAATAAATAATTTAAAAAAATAATTTATTTGTGAAAATTTTTCTAAGCTTTGCAAAAGATCCAGTTTAATAGTATCATGCCAGCATGAGATAGTGCTGCATTATTCAACTGGTGTTTTTTTTTTTGAGAGATTTTTCTATAGGGCATGCTTACTAGAGAGACAGAGAGAAAGAGAGAAAAAGCGAGAAATCACCCCCCGGGGGGGATGACCACGCCACAATCCCTTCTCCTTTCTTGTCTCAGGATTTGGGGCATGATTTTCAAGCCACTGGGTCCAAGACTCAAATTGCACAGTTGACCATATGGGATCCAATGCCTTAACCTCCACATTACCTGCTGTCCCCATACCTGGATTTTAGTAGCAGATACTTTCTATAATCTTGACTCAAAGGATTACAAGAATCTGCAATGGAGAAGTTCTAAACATCCTGACAAAAAACGGGACCTGTATAGTAGGCCTTGTATTTACCTATCAGGCACATTTTATAACTATACAAATACCACCTTGTCAGAAAAGTCATAATACATTTTGTATAGAAAAACATAGAAAATACGTCATGACTTTTCCAACAACCCAATATATATAAATATACACATATATAACAATACTGGGTCTCTCCTACATCGGACATTTCTGAAAGAGTCACAGTAATCCTTTAAGTCAATATCATTACCATCTCCCTTTTACAGATGAGAAAACTAAACCAGAGAAGTTCGATAACTTGTTACATCACACCGTTACCAACAGTTGGAATTGGATTAAAAATTGTGGCTAACTCCTAAGCTCACAGGATCAAGCCGCCTTGAGAAAAACAATTTTCTCACTAGAGAATAGACTGCTATGAGGAAGAGAAATCAAGAACTGAAGTTTCCACAATAAATTATTATTGGATAAAAAGTGCAGGTCATTTATTTTAAAGAAGAATCTCCCAAACAACAATTTAATAGCACATATTCCCATCGTTAATATCTATGGTGAGATGAGCAAATGGTGTAATGGTTACATTGGTGGATTCCCATGTGGCTGACCATGGTTCAAGTCTGGATCTGGTGGCATCAAACTCACGCCAGGCATGTGTGTGTGTGCCCAAAATCCTAAGAGGAGAAGAGAGAAGGGACTGCAGTGTAGCCATCCCCCCTGTGGGTGATTTCTCACTTTTGTCTGTCTCTCTCTCTCCAGTGAGTGCATGGGCCCTATAGTAAAAATATCCTCTAAAAAAAAAAATCTATGGTATATGACAATCTTTGTAGAAGGGAAGTTTATTGGTTTCATAGTAGGCTCATTTAATCTAATTAGAGAATGTCATAATGCATTCGGTGGCAAAACTAGATGGATTTTATCTATACCTTGATGTGACTAGAGCCACAAAAGACTGGGTTCCTCAGCTCTACTAAGAAACTTGTCACAGTCCAAAAGTCAAAGACGAAACACATTTCTTGGCGCTCCTTTTCCCAAGCATTGGCAATAACAGTGCAAAAGAGAATTGGAAACAATACTCAGGAATCTTGCATAAGTTCAATATTTCACAAGATCTGCAAACCTTAATACCTTAGAGTTAAAAGGACTTTGGAATTACTAGTTTAACCATCTTGTTAAGCTAAATACTGGATATCCCTCCACAACCTACCAAGCCTCTTCTTGAACGCCCTAAATAATGAGCAATACGTTATTTTACAAAGCTGCCTACTTCATCTTCAGATAGTTTTGCCTAACAGGAACCTCTTTATAATGAATTGAAATCTTTCCCTTAACTTACTACTTTTAAAAATTGCCAGTAGGCACATGTACATGTGTGCACAGGAAAGAGCGACCACACCTCTCAATGGGGTATGGTCACAAAGCAATTAATCTTTCCTCCATTCCTCCATCCTGTCAGGATTTAGGGCAGGCATGTCATGGTCAGCCACATGAGATCTGCCTCTCTATGCACAGGGCTTAACTGCTGTGTTATGGGGCTGGCCCTCTTCTGACTTCCGTTTTCTGCTACTGATTCCATCCTAAGACCCCTTAAAACAATAGCCCAATCTCTAACCTCCCCCATAGTATCTTTTCTATGCCAGGTTACAACCATCTTGGCACTTTGAGTATGGCTTCAAATGTCCTTATGACCATGGCTAATCTTCTCAGAATGCCATGGTAGGGTGGTCAGGCCTACTAAAAACCAATAGTCATGAGTGAGTGGTCTAACCACTGCAAAACAGCAGGGAGTCTGACCTCTCATCTGCACTCCCCCAGGACACTGCTCTCAATAGTGCTGAGCTCTCAATAGTGAAAGCTGGAAAGAGGCACTCTCCAGTTAATCATCTTTGAGATCTAAGGCCTTCATGATCCTTAGAAACCTAGAAACAAAAAACATCCTCTCAACCATAAGTCAGTACCATCATCTTGTCAATACGCTGGAACCAGTCTTGACTGTCCCATGTTCCCCAAGCCCAAGAGAAGTGAACATTTCACCACTTGGCCTAAAAATATTTGCCAGAAAAAATTTGGGCAAAACTATCCAAAACTTATCATGAGCAAAAATGGACCCAGGGGGCTGGCAGGTTGTGGTGGTTAAGGGTACTGAATTCCCATATGGCCTATCGCGGTTCAAGTCCCAGACCTAGTGGCTTGCTTTCTCACTTTCTCTCTCTCGCTCTCTCTCTCTCTCTGTTCAAATTAAAATAAAATTAAATAATTCTTCAAAAATTACCTTTTAAAAAAATGGATCCAAATATAGATGAATTGCTAAATGTCTATCAGTCATCTTCCATCTTGCCTTTAAATCTCTAATTCAGAACCTCCCTTTTACTCACAAGCCATTCAACAACCATTCTGCTTCTCTTCTATCTCCACCATCCAACTTCCCATCGCCATGTTGTAGAGAGAGCCTAAAATACAGGAAGAATAGCAGAGCCAGATGTCCACTGCCACAAACATTTTCGACATTGTCAGTCCATGACATTTGGAGCCATTTGCTCATATTCAAGTCCAATCAAAGAGAAGATCCTTGGTGACAATGAATGGATGAAAGGAATTCTTGTTGCAAAGAAGCCAACTAATTTATATAAATTCTGTCTGATAATAATAGACTTCAGTTGCCAAATATCTATGCAAACCTAAAATACACAGTTTTCTGGATCTATGAACTATCGGGGTAGGTAAAGAACTGCGATACTTGGTGACTAAATTAGTGCCCTATATTTGAAAAACTAGTGAATGTCTGAAAATTAAGTTAATTACATCTAATTGGAAAATTACCAATAATTCCATGTTTTGTTATAACCTATATATTCCCCAATAAATTCATACTAAAATAAGCTTTAAAGCCTTAAAAATATCCAAAAACAAAAAGCCAGTAATGACAACAAAATATGTAATAAGGTTAATAGCATATACGCTTGGTTTTAGAAGATTCTTACATATTCAGTTGATAAATTCTATAGTAATGTACATTAAAAAAGTTTACAAAAGAAAATTAGACATTTATGACTGGAGTTAGTTGTAGTAAGGAATCAGATGTGAGTGTTTGATTGCTCTTTGTGCCTTCAAAGTTCTGTAGAAAATTCTGTCTTCTTTTTAATCCATCCAAAAAGACTGAGTTATTAGATGCCAGACTCTGTGTCCTAGAGATATTAAAAGTGACAGAATTATTGCCTTCAAAAGGGATCTAGATTTCCAACTAAGGCATTATACTTTCATTTGTTACTTTGAAGTAGTACAACCTTTACTATCACTAAGGTACACTTACCAAAGAAACCAAAGAAGTTAACCACGAAAAATCTGAAGTGTTCTTTACATTTTAAAAGCTTCACAATAGGGACCAGCAGTTAGTGCAATGGCTATGTCGCTGGACTCCCATGTAGTTGACCGCGGTTCGAGTCCCGTACCTGGTGGCTTAAACTCACGCTGGGCGTGTGTGCATGCGTGCCCAAGATCCCGAGAGGAAAATGGAGAAGGGATTGCAGCGTGGCCATCCCCTCTGGGGGGTGATTTCTCGCTTTCTTTCTCTCTGTCTGTCTGGCGAGCACACATGCCCTATGGCAAAAACCTCTACAAAAAAAAAAAATAAAGCTTCACAATAGTACCTCAATTGTTCAATAGCTGTTTTCAAGCTAGTTTATGTTTTCTGAACAACACCTTTTCTCAGATCCAATATCAAGTATATTCTGGACAAATAATAAGTTCCCTAAAGAACTGTTTTATATATCTGAAGTGGCCAGTGTCTTACAGAGTATTTTATAAGAAGTCATATGGGGGGCTGGCAGGTGGCGTGGTGGGTTAGGGGCAGTGGAATCCCACATGGCCAACCATGGTTTGAGCCCCAGACCTGCTGGCTTGCATTCTTGTTTTCCCTCTCTCTCACTCTTTCTCTCTCTGGTCAAATTTAAAATAAGTAAAGTCAAATAGTAATAATTCTTTAAAAAAAAAAAGTCATATAGAAGAGAAGAGCCAACTCTATATATTTTTTTATTGACATTGTCTTTTCCAGAGAGCTGAAAATTATGTTAGTCCCTTATCTGCCTTGATTCAGATAAATCACACTACTGTTGGTTATTTTTGCTTTTGATTAAAATTGTTTTTTAATTATTTTATTTATTTATTTTGTTAATTTGACCAGAGAGAAAGCAAGCCACCAGGTCCAGGACTCAAACCATAGTCGGCCATGTGGGAGTCCAGCGCCCCCAACCACCACACCACCTGCCAGCTCCTAAGATATTTTTTAAAGTATTATTTATTTTATTTTATTTTTCATTATTTTTTAAAATTTGTGAGACCAGCAGATGTAATGGTTACGTCGCTGTACTCCATGTAGTCGACCACAGTTCAAGTCTTGGACCCAAGGCTTAAAACTCACACCAGGCCTGGAACCAGCAGTTAGTGTAATGGCTATGTCGCTGGACTCCCACGTAGTCGACCACGGTTCGCGTCCCAGACCCCGTGGCTTAAAACTCATGCCAGGCGCATGTGCACGTGTGCCCAAGATCCCGAGAGGAATATGGAGAAGGGATTGCGGCATGGCCATCCCCCCTGGGGGGTGATTTCCTGCTTTCTGTCTCTGTCTCACTCTGTCTCTCTCTGTCTGTCTGGCAGGGGAGCGTACCCTATAGAAAAAAAAAAAAAAAAAAAACTCTCAAAAAAAAAAAGAAAGAAAAAAAAAACACACACACCAGGTGTGTGTGTGTGCATACCCAAAATTCTGAGAGACCACTGGGTCTGGGACTTGAACTGCAATCAGTTACATGGGAGTCCAGCAATGTAGCCATTAGGCCACCTGCTGGTCCCAAATTTTTCTTTTTAAAGAGCATATTTATTTATTTTTTAGAGAGAGATCTTTGCTATCGGGTCCATGTATTCACTGGAGAGACAGAAAAACAGAGAGACAGAAAGCAAGACCATTATGCCATCTGCTGATCCCAAAACAGTCAAATTTGGCTCACATTAAAAATAAACTGGCCCAGCTTGGTGGTACAGTCAATAGCAAACTGATGCAGTGTTGGCCACATGGTCAACTGCAGGTTCAGATACCCATCTTAGACTGAAAACATGCTACATGTAATGCATGTGTGCCCAAGATGCTGACAAGCTGGACAGCCAGGGAAAGTAGACTGCAGCATGACAAATCCTGTCAAGGGTGTTCCTTCTTCTCCTGTTCTTATGTCTACACTCTATCATGACTAAAATAAGCTTTTTAAAAATTGGGACCGAGACCAGCAGTTAGTGTAATGGCTATGTCGCTGGATTCCCACGTAGCTGACCGTGGTTCAAGTCCCGGACCAGGTGGCCTAAACTCACGCCAGGCATGTGTGCGAGCGTGCCCAAGATCTTGAGAGGAGAATGGAGGAGAAGGGATTGCGGCGTGGCCATTCCCCCTGGGAGGTGATTTCTCGCTTTCTGTCTGTCTCTCTCTGTCTTTCTGGCAAGTGCACACGCCCTATAGCAAAAACCTCTCCAAAAAAATTTAAAAATTGAGTCCCAGACCTGGTGGCTTAAATTCACACTGGGCACGTGTGCATGCATGCCCAAGATCTGAGAAGAGAATGGAGGAGAGGGATTATGGCGTGGCCATCCCTCTTGGGGGGTGATTTCTCACTTTCTGTTGGCTAGTGCCCATGCCCTATAGCAAAAACCTCTATTAAAAAAAAAAAAAAAAAAAAAAAAAACTTCATTAAGGAGCCAGCAGGTTGACAGGGCGCTGGGAAGCCACATGGCTTATGACAGTTTGAGTTCTGGACCTTATAGCTTATTTTCTCTTTCTCTCTCTCTCATGAATGTGTGCCCTGTGGCAAATTAAAATATAAAAATAGGGGCCAGCAGATGGTGTGGTGGTTAAGGGCACTGGACTCCCACATGGCTGACCATGGTTCGAATCCCAGACCTGGTGGCGTGCTTTCTTACTTTCCCTCTCTCTCTCTCACTTTCTTGCTCTGTTCCTCTCTAGTCAAATTTAAATAAATATTAAATAAAAGTTAAATAAAATAATTATTTGTAAAAATTAAAAATAATCATAAATAAATTTAAATAATTCTTTTTAAAAAGTCATTAAAACAAAATTCTATCCTATTCTATAAGAGATTTCATCATAACTTTAAAACATTTTTCGGAACCAGCAGTTGGTGTAATGGCTATGTTTCTGGACTCCCACATAGTTGACCACAATTCGAGTCCCGGACCTGGTGGCTCAAATTCACACCAGGCATGTGTGCGTGTGTGCCCAGGATCCTGAGAGGAGAATGGAGGAAAAGGGATTGCAGCATGGCCATCCCCTCTGGGGCGTGATTTCTCATTGCTGTCTCTCTGTCTCTCTCTGTTTTTTTGGTGAGCGCATGCACCCTATAGCAAAAATCTCTCAAAAAAACAAAAACAAAAAGCAAACATTTTTCCAGTAAAGACTTGCAAAATTGTGGGACCAGCAAATGGTTTAATGGTTATGTTGCTGAACTCCCATGTAGTCACAACCATGGTTTGAGACCTGGCAGATTAAAACTCATGCGGGGGGCTAGCAAGTGGCATGGTAGTTAAGGGCGTTGGACTCCCATGTGGCTGACCACGGTTCAAGTCCTGGACCTGGCGGCTTGCATTCTCACTTTTTCTCTTCTCACTTTGTCCCTCTGGTAAAATTTAAATGAAGTTAAAGAAAATTTTTTAAAAATTAAAAATTAAAAAAAAAAAAAAACACCTCACACTGGACACATGTTCATGCATGCCCAAAATCCAAGAGGAGAATGGAGAGGAAGGGATTGTGGCATAGTCATACCCCATTGTGGCATGGCCATCCCCCACTGAAACCACCTTTCTCACTTTCTGTCTGGCAAGTACACACGCTTTATAGCAAAAATCTCTCTTAAGACAAAAGGACTTGCAGGAACCAGCAGTTAGCGTAATGGCTATGTCACAGGACTCCCACGTAGTCGGCCGTGGCTCGCGTCCCGGACCTGGTGGCTTAAAACTCACGCCGGGCGCTAGTGCGTGCGTGCCCAAGATCCCAAGAGGAGAATGGAGGAGAAGGGACTGCGGCGTGACCATCCCCTCTGGGGGCTGATTTCTCACTTTCTGTCTCTGTTTCCCTCTGTCTGGGGAGCACACGTACCCTATAGCAAAAACCTCTCAAAAAAAAAAAGGACTTACAAAATTGTATCATTATAAAAGTAAATCAGCTGGTCAAATTAAAATACAATTAAATGAAATAATTCTTCAAAAAAAGGGGGGGCACTGGCAGGTGGCATGGTGGTGGTTAAGAGTGCTGGACTCCCACATGACTGACTGCAGTTCAAATCACAGACTTGGCAGCTTGCTTCCTCACTTTCCCTCTCGCTTTCGCTCTGTCTCTCATGCAGTCCCTCTCTGGTTAAATTAAAATAAATAAAGTTAAATGAAATAATTCTTTTTAAAAAAAGTAAATCAGAAGTCTCCCACTAGGTAATTCATATCCCCTTCAAGATCAGCAGATGGTGTAATGGTTATGTTGCTGGATTCCCATGTAGTCAACCCCAGTTTGAGTTTGGGACCTGGTGGCCTAAAACACACCAGGCACATGTACCTGTGTGCATGCCCAAAATCCCAAGAGAAAAGAGGAGAAAGAATTGCGGTATGGCCATCCTGTATATGATTTCTCGCTTTCTGTCTCTCTGCCTCTCCAGTGCCCTATCACAAAAATTTCTCTACCAAAAAAAGAGAAAAGAAAAGCCTCATATCCCCTTGCTTTTAACAATTTCTGCAGGATGGCGGTTAAGCAAACACTTCTATGTGTACTTACCGGGGAGAATCTATTCCACTGTCTCCTGCCATGCTATGGTTTTCTGTTCCTTCCAAGTGTGTGTGTACGTTCTGGATATCCTGAGCCAACACTAGCATATGTGAAGGACTGAAAAGTTCTAGCTTTTGTGTGAAATGTTTTCTCACTTCCTGATTCTGAGGACTCTGATTCCAGCCAGCTGGTTTCTCTCCTGTGTCACCAACAGAGTCTTGTAGGGTTTCAGCCTCAGAATTGGCTTTCCTGGTGCTACAGTAATCAAATAAACTTCCTTCAGCAGGTACCAAGGCCTGCACACATTTAGCAATACTGGATTCTTCTCCAAAGTTAAAACCAAACCGTTTCCCTGAATTTAGGCCACAGCTTTCCAAAGAGAGATTAGGTTTCTGGCTTTCACCTGGGTTAGTAAGCAACCCAGCAGGTGTGTAACATTCATTACTTTTAAGCGTCCAAGGTTCAAACCTATCCATTTTGCCACTGTACTCAGTCAGCGATCTCTCAGTCACTTTCTGTTTTTCTAAATGGTTCCACTTGCTTCCACCAGTCACCAAGGAGTACTGACTGTGACCAGACAGCATTTGACACAAGTCGTCATCATCAGAAAAGTCATCATCCTCTAGATACAGTGAACTGCAGGCACCATCATCTTCCACTTCATTCTGACACAAGACCCGGTCATCATCAGAGAACCCTCCATTTTCTAGGCACGCAGTCCCTGCGTCCTGGACAAATGCCTTTGCCATGAATTCTCCTGAGTCTCTGCCCTGTTTCTCGAGTTGTCTCAAATGGTCTGCGCCAACTGAATAATCCAAAAGACCAAGATTTTGCAACTGGTGTACCGTCTTCTCAATTAATTTACAAGCAGCTGTCTGGTCTAAAGAGGAGGTACCTGGTGAAGGCAGGGCATGCTTTGTTCCCTTGGTCTCCTCTAATTTGCCAAAGTGAGAATGATTTTCCCTGAAGGCTCCAGGGATTATCTCATTTTCTCCACTGCACACATCGCGCCTCAGCGTGCCTTCCCTGAAGGAACAGCACTGACCATCTTTACACGATTCTCTACACTGATGGTAAGTGAAGAGCGGGTCTCCAAAGCCAGCACTGACAGGAGTGACGGTAGCGTTATCAACGTAAGTGGCTTCTGCTTTCAGTTTATCATCACGATGTTCAACATGTGGCCGACTGGCTTCACCATCAAGGATTCTGGAGGAATCCAAAGACTTTGACCTTTGGAATGGCTTTTTTTCCTTTAGTCCAGTCTGACTGATTTTCAGATTACTGATCTTCTGAACGTTGTGCCCTTTGGTTATTGGGTTCCCTCGGTGAGCCAAACCCTGAAAAGGATTACTGATCCGCTTTTTGTAAACCAAGTGGGAACTCAGCACTGCTGGGTTCTCCCCTACTGGTTTCTGAATGACCGCTTCACTCGGGCTGTGAGCTCCGGGAGCGGGCTGTGTGGCAGGGGGCCTGCAGTGTCTCTCCAGTCTAATGCTTCCCGGCTGCTGCTTGCTTCCCTGACTTCTGGCTTTACGTCTATCCCTGTGAGAATGGCCCTGCCTTCGAGACTTTGCAGACTGACCCTGCCTTTTCTTAACTGCCTCTTTGGAAGAATGCCTGTGCCTGGCTGTCAACATATCAGTGGACGTGCCCTGGCTATTATATTTTTTATGTTTTTCATATTTTTGCATCAGGACAGTGTGTTTGACTAAGTTGTCCACAGTCAGAATCGGGTTAATTCGTCTGATTATCTCATGTTCGACGTCTCGAGGGATATTCTCCAAGTTATCTTCATCTCGGACAGGCCATTCCTCAGGTGGGAACTGGGCAGAGAAATTGCTGTGCTGTGTTTTGGGCTTCTCCTTTTTGGATATGCTGCGCCACAAGAGACTGAAGCCAAACTTCTTGCCTTTTTCTCTGTCTCTGGTACAGGGTGATGGTGTGGAGCTCCCACAGAGAGAATTCTCCTGAGTTGCTGAAGCTGCCTGATTTTGTACCCAGGGTTTGGAGTCTCCAAGATTTTTCTGGCTCTTTCCAGTCAGCTCTGTAGCAGCTGGTGGTTCCGGGACCTCCTGAGTGCACACGTCAGGGTAACACTGGCAAGACTGACAATGGGAAATAGGGAAAGCATTCTCTTGAGAATTAAAATACAATTAAATGAAATAATTCTTCAAAAAAAGGGGGGGCACTGGCAGGTGGCATGGTGGTGGTTAAGAGTGCTGGACTCCCACATGACTGACTGCAGTTCAAATCACAGACTTGGCAGCTTGCTTCCTCACTTTCCCTCTCTCTTTCTCTCTCTCTCTCATTCAGTCCCTCTCTGGTTAAATTAAAATAAATAAAGTTAAATGAAATAATTCTTTTTAAAAAAAGTAAATCAGAAGTCTCCCACTAGGTAATTCATATCCCCTTCAAGATCAGCAGATGGTGTAATGGTTATGTTGCTGGATTCCCATGTAGTCAACCCCAGTTTGAGTTTGGGACCTGGTGGCCTAAAACACACCAGGCACATGTACCTGTGTGCATGCCCAAAATCCCAAGAGAAAAGAGGAGAAAGAATTGCGGTATGGCCATCCTGTATATGATTTCTCGCTTTCTGTCTCTCTGCCTCTCCAGTGCCCTATCACAAAAATTTCTCTACCAAAAAAAGAGAAAAGAAAAGCCTCATATCCCCTTGCTTTTAACAATTTCTGCAGGATGGCGGTTAAGCAAACACTTCTATGTGTACTTACCGGGGAGAATCTATTCCACTGTCTCCTGCCATGCTATGGTTTTCTGTTCCTTCCAAGTGTGTGTGTACGTTCTGGATATCCTGAGCCAACACTAGCATATGTGAAGGACTGAAAAGTTCTAGCTTTTGTGTGAAATGTTTTCTCACTTCCTGATTCTGAGGACTCTGATTCCAGCCAGCTGGTTTCTCTCCTGTGTCACCAACAGAGTCTTGTAGGGTTTCAGCCTCAGAATTGGCTTTCCTGGTGCTACAGTAATCAAATAAACTTCCTTCAGCAGGTACCAAGGCCTGCACACATTTAGCAATACTGGATTCTTCTCCAAAGTTAAAACCAAACCGTTTCCCTGAATTTAGGCCACAGCTTTCCAAAGAGAGATTAGGTTTCTGGCTTTCACCTGGGTTAGTAAGCAACCCAGCAGGTGTGTAACATTCATTACTTTTAAGCGTCCAAGGTTCAAACCTATCCATTTTGCCACTGTACTCAGTCAGCGATCTCTCAGTCACTTTCTGTTTTTCTAAATGGTTCCACTTGCTTCCACCAGTCACCAAGGAGTACTGACTGTGACCAGACAGCATTTGACACAAGTCGTCATCATCAGAAAAGTCATCATCCTCTAGATACAGTGAACTGCAGGCACCATCATCTTCCACTTCATTCTGACACAAGACCCGGTCATCATCAGAGAACCCTCCATTTTCTAGGCACGCAGTCCCTGCGTCCTGGACAAATGCCTTTGCCATGAATTCTCCTGAGTCTCTGCCCTGTTTCTCGAGTTGTCTCAAATGGTCTGCGCCAACTGAATAATCCAAAAGACCAAGATTTTGCAACTGGTGTACCGTCTTCTCAATTAATTTACAAGCAGCTGTCTGGTCTAAAGAGGAGGTACCTGGTGAAGGCAGGGCATGCTTTGTTCCCTTGGTCTCCTCTAATTTGCCAAAGTGAGAATGATTTTCCCTGAAGGCTCCAGGGATTATCTCATTTTCTCCACTGCACACATCGCGCCTCAGCGTGCCTTCCCTGAAGGAACAGCACTGACCATCTTTACACGATTCTCTACACTGATGGTAAGTGAAGAGCGGGTCTCCAAAGCCAGCACTGACAGGAGTGACGGTAGCGTTATCAACGTAAGTGGCTTCTGCTTTCAGTTTATCATCACGATGTTCAACATGTGGCCGACTGGCTTCACCATCAAGGATTCTGGAGGAATCCAAAGACTTTGACCTTTGGAATGGCTTTTTTTCCTTTAGTCCAGTCTGACTGATTTTCAGATTACTGATCTTCTGAACGTTGTGCCCTTTGGTTATTGGGTTCCCTCGGTGAGCCAAACCCTGAAAAGGATTACTGATCCGCTTTTTGTAAACCAAGTGGGAACTCAGCACTGCTGGGTTCTCCCCTACTGGTTTCTGAATGACCGCTTCACTCGGGCTGTGAGCTCCGGGAGCGGGCTGTGTGGCAGGGGGCCTGCAGTGTCTCTCCAGTCTAATGCTTCCCGGCTGCTGCTTGCTTCCCTGACTTCTGGCTTTACGTCTATCCCTGTGAGAATGGCCCTGCCTTCGAGACTTTGCAGACTGACCCTGCCTTTTCTTAACTGCCTCTTTGGAAGAATGCCTGTGCCTGGCTGTCAACATATCAGTGGACGTGCCCTGGCTATTATATTTTTTATGTTTTTCATATTTTTGCATCAGGACAGTGTGTTTGACTAAGTTGTCCACAGTCAGAATCGGGTTAATTCGTCTGATTATCTCATGTTCGACGTCTCGAGGGATATTCTCCAAGTTATCTTCATCTCGGACAGGCCATTCCTCAGGTGGGAACTGGGCAGAGAAATTGCTGTGCTGTGTTTTGGGCTTCTCCTTTTTGGATATGCTGCGCCACAAGAGACTGAAGCCAAACTTCTTGCCTTTTTCTCTGTCTCTGGTACAGGGTGATGGTGTGGAGCTCCCACAGAGAGAATTCTCCTGAGTTGCTGAAGCTGCCTGATTTTGTACCCAGGGTTTGGAGTCTCCAAGATTTTTCTGGCTCTTTCCAGTCAGCTCTGTAGCAGCTGGTGGTTCCGGGACCTCCTGAGTGCACACGTCAGGGTAACACTGGCAAGACTGACAATGGGAAATAGGGAAAGCATTCTCTTGAGCTGACTCTGCACAGCTCTCCACGCTCACCAAATACGTCACAGAAGTCGGCACCGGGCAGCCTTCACCAGAGAGAACTCTCTTATTTTCCTGGGTGGTTGCATTTGTGATGAAGTAAGTCTGTGGAGTAACGATGAAGTATCCTTCTCCAGTGTGATAAATCTTCCTCTCTTTAATCAGAGTTCCCAAAGTGGTATAGAGGATATCTCGAGATGGAATGGCAATGCCTAAAACAAACATTTAACACTGAGACATTCTGAGTAAGAAACATTTTAATGAGTGAAACCAGTAACTCAGAAATGACCATGCATTTGTTGAATGAACCCAGAACTGATTAAAACATGACACATCTAATTAAAATGCCAAAGAAGTATAAATAATATGAATTATTTAAATAATACTAATATAATTTGATCCACACAACAACAAATGGCTACATTAATGGTTAGAGGGACTGGCAGGTGGCATGGTGGTTAAAGGCACTGGACTCCCCCATGGCTGGCCACAGTTTAAGTCCTGAACCTTGTGGCTTGCTTTCTCACTCTCTCTCTCTTTCTCTCTCCCTATTGCTCTCTGATAAAACTAGAAAATAATAACAATAAACAAAGTTAAATAAAATAATTCTCTAAAAAAAGGATTAAGTAGACAAAAAACAAATCTGAATTCACTCAAATGCAACCCATATAAATTTAAACTGTGAAAAAAGGATCCTTGAGGAGCAAACATGGGAACTTTTGAAAACTGCAGTTTGTGCTTAGATGAGAGTAAACCACCTAACATTTGGATATGATAGTTTATCAAAGCAAAAGTTAACAAAATCTTTTTTTGTTGTTGTTTTCTTGTTTGTTTTGTAACAGTTTTTTGCTATAGGGCAAGTGTGCTAGCCAGAGAGAGAGACAGAAAGCGAGAAATCACCCCCGGGGATGGCCATCCTGCAATCCCTTTTCCTCCATTCTCCTCTAGGGATTTCAGGCACACACACACGTGCCTGGCATGAGGTTTTAAGCCACCAGGTCCGGGACTTGAATGGCAGTCAACTACATGGGAGTCCAGCAATGTAACCATTATACCATCTGCTGGTCCCAACAAAATAATTTTAAAAGAATTCACTTTTCCAAATAGGAGGGTCCAAAATGTTATTATGAAAACAATCTTTTTTTAAGAATTATTTAATTTTATTTTATTCACTGTCATTATTTTATTGAAGTTAATCAGAGAGAGAGAGAGAGACAGAAAGAGAGAAGGAAAGTGAGAAAGCAAGCTGCCAGGTCCAGTACTCAAACCTGTGTTAAGCCAATGTGGGAGTCCAACCACCTTAACCACCATGCCACCTGCTGGCCCCTGGCAAAAATCTTAAAAAAAAAAAAAAAAGGAAAGAAATGGATATTTGTATAAGAAAACCACTAAAAGAAAATTTATCTATATGTTAACACAGATTTCCTTTGGGTAGTAATACTGTTTGTGAGTAGTGCTTTTTTGGTTTTTTTTGTGTGTGTGTTTTTTTTTTAAAGAATTCTTTAACTTTACTTATCCACTTATTTATTTATTTTAATTTGACCAGGGAGGGACAGACGGAGAGAGAGAGAAAGTGAAAAAACAATTGCCAGGTCCGGGACTCAAACCACGGTTGACCATGTGGAAGTCCAGCGTCCTTAACCACCATGCCACCTGCTGGCCCCATGAGTAGTTATTTTTATTTTCTGGAATTTCTTGCAATCAGTTTACTCATTTCATAATGGGAAATAAAAAATACGCTTTTACAACCATGCATTAGGATAGCATGCAACTACTAAGACAATGAACTAGATTAATACATGTCGACATGGACAGACCTCCAAAATACGTTTCTTAAGTTAAAAAAATAAGGGTGCAGAGAGAATGTATAGGCTGATCCAATTTATGTTATCAATACAGATCAGGCCAACAGGTGACGTGGAGGTCAAGGTGGCTAGATCCCACATGGATAACAGTGAGGTTCAAGTCCCAGACCTGACAGCTTGAAAATCACACTAAGTGTGTGTACATGCATGCCCAAAATCCTGAGAGGAGAATGGTGGAGAAGGGATTGAAGCACGCCTGCACACACATGCATGCCTAGCATGATTTTTTTTAAGCTGCCAGGTCCAGAATTCAAACCGCGGTCAGTAATGTGGCAGTCTAGAGCCTTAACCACCATGTTACCTGCTGGCCCCCAAAGAATGACACTTTGACGTGCTGAAGTACTTTGAGCTACAGAAACAGAATCAAGGTCTCTCTGTCCTTCTTCCACTCCCTTGTCTCTCACCCACTCTGCCTCTCCCAAAACACAAGGGGTTTTCTCTGAAGTTCCTTTATCTGCCCCCAAAACAGGATCCTCCAAAGAAGAACGCAATTGCCTTTGGTCTTCTTACTAAAATTTCATTAACCAAGGAAAATTAAACTCTTATCACAGAGGAAGAGACTAAAATGAAGCACCATATGCAGAGCCACAACCAACTTTGCCTTTGGAGCTCTATCCCAAGCCACTGTCAGTTCCACTGACCCATTCGTTTCTCCTAAAAATCATTTACTACCCCCTTGAAAACTACCAGGGGCCAGCAGGTGGCATGGTGGTTAAAGGCACTGGACTCCCACATGGTCAACTGCAGTTCGAGTCCCAGACCAGGTGACTTGCTTTCTTGTTTTGCCTCTCTCTCTCTGTCTCTCTCTGGTCAAATCAAAAATAATAATAATAGGGACCAGCAGATGGTATAATGGTTACATCACTGGACTCCCATGTAGTCTAAGGAGTTTCAACTCCCGGATCTGGCTGCTTAAAACTCACTCTAGGCACATGTGTGTGTGTGTGCCCAAGATCCCAACAGGAGAATAGAGGAGAAGGGATTGTAGTGTGGCCGTTCCCTCTGGAGGGTGATTTCTCTTTTTCTGTTTCTCTCTGTCTCTCTGGCAAGTACATGCACCCATAGCAAAAATATCTCTAAATAAATTAAATTAAAAAAAAATAAAGTTATATTAAATGAATAAAATAAAGTTAAATAAAGTAATTCTTTAAAAAAAAACTGTCTACATTCTCATTTCTCTCTCCCGTATGAAGAGGGTATTTAAGCTTCAACTACTGGGCCTTCTGTGAGTGTCACATTTTGTGTGACTCCCATGTGCTTTCACATCAATATTGTATGCCTTTTTCTCCTATTAATCAGCCTATTGCCAATTTGTTATATAGACTCAAATTCTCAAATCTTCAGGGGATAGTAAGTGACTTTCGCCCTACATTTCTATAGACACAAAAGAAGTATCACTTTATTTACTTATATTTTCAAGATTATATAGAAATAGAAACCAAGCACATGCAATGAACTGCAAATAGAGAAGAGCTTATACTCTACCTGGGTAATGTTTCATCAAATACTCCGAAAGCGACTCCTGTGTTACTGCGCTCTGAGCTGCATTCATATCAGATATGGCACAGCAAAGGACTTCAGCCAAAGGCACAAACTGAGATTGAGCTATCGGACTCATCTGTACTGGAAAGACATCACCTAAATCAGAGATTTCAAAAGGGGGAGGGGGAGTTAAAATTTTAATATGGTATAAAATATCTGAAGCTAATGAACCAAGAATAGTTATGAAGACTGAATAAGGGGCTGGCCCCGGAGTACAGTGGTTAAGAGCTATTCAGCGGGGGCCAGATCCCACATGGTTAACCACAGTTTAAATCTCAGCACTGGTGGCTTGAAAAATATACAGGTCTCATATGCATGCATGCCCAGAATCCTAATGGGAAGGAGAAATGGAAGAAAGAGGGCCAATTAAGACAGCTAGATCCCACATGGCTGACTACACAGATCAATTCCTGGACCTGGCAGCTTGAAAATCATGCCAGGCCTGTGTGTATGTGTGCCCAAAATTCCAAGTGGGGGATGGAAGAGAAGGCACTGCTGTGAGGTCATCCCTCTTGGAAGGTGGTTTCTCACTTTGTCTCTGGCTCTCTCTGAGAAGAACACCTGCCTGACAGCAAAAAGAAAACAAAAAATAATACTGCTTGCCAAATCCAAAGATACTCTTAGAAGATTTATTCATAATTTATTCATTCTGTGGAGATGTATATTTTAAAAGAATAAACAAATCTATTACCAACTAGAAAGACTAATTGCCCTTTGTCCTTCCTTAAAATTAATACAACTGGGAGGCCAGAAAGTGGCGCGGAGGTTAAGGCACTGGATTCCACATGGCCTGACTGAGTGGTTCAAGTCTTAGATCTGGCAGCTTGAAGATCATGCCAGGCACATGTGCATGCATGCCCAAAGTCCTGGGAGGAGAATGGAGAACGGATTGTGGCGTGGCCATTCCCTGGAGTTGTGAGGGGAGTGATTTCTCACTTTCTCTTCTCTCTGTCTCTGTCTCTGTCTCCAGCATACATCCTGTAGCAAAAACCTAAACAAACAAACAAACAAAAAGAGTACAACTACATGTAAGCTGCACTTTAGAGAATGTGTTAAATTGCTTTTAACCTCTGCTGTGGAGCTCGCTCTAGACAAAGCCTAGAGAAAACTCCTCAGTACATTTCCTTTGCAGCTGTTGCTAAGATACGTCCTTCAGGTGCATAAATCAAGTTTTCTTTGTGTAGGAAAGCGGAGGGAACCCTGACGTGGGGAACATTTGTAACAGATGTGGAACCATTTTCAAGCTACAGTTATGGTCTCTTTTAGTTCCTACTGCATGCCTCTGGCTTTCCGAATGCCATCACTCTCATGAAGTTTTCTACCAAAAATTAAGATTTTGTGCAGAAGATTCCCTCTTATAGATGTAACCTGCTTTCATAAGCAGGCTAGGCCAGCCCGTTGGCTTATCCTCAACTACTATTGGGTAATTGAAGAGCACCCTTATGTCCAGGCCTGCTGGGGACCTTTGACCTTTGAGCTTAAGCAGGGATCAGAAGGTGAAGGAGACACTGTGAACCAGAGAGTTAACAGTAGACAGCAATGTTCTCACTATTTACATAGTCTCCTACTCTCCAGTGCCCAGGAAATGGCAAACTATTTAGGCTGAAACACTGGTTTCACCAACAAAATGAAACTATATAGGTGAGGCCATTTGTGCCTAGTAAAATTTCTTTGAAGAAATTTGGCACAAATTTGTCACTTTTTTTTTTTAATTTTTAAAAAATAATTATTTATTTAATTTTATTTATTTATTCGTTTATTTTAATTTGACCAGAGAGAGACACAGGGAGAGAGAGAAAGAAGTGAGAAAGCAAGCTGCCAGGTCCAGGACTTGAACTGTGGTCAGCCAGTGCCTTAACTACCACACCACCTGCTGGTCCCCACAAATTTGTCACTTTTGTTATCCATTTTTTTTTTCCTTTTTTTCTTTTTGTGCTATAGGGCACATATGCTCGCAGGAGAAAGAGGCAAAAACAGGGAAAGTGAGAAATCACTCACCAGAAGGATGGCCATGTAGCAGTCCCCTCTTTAGTCTCCTCTCAGGATTTTGTGCAAGTACACACACATGCTTTGTGTGTTCTTGGAGTGACCCGAACCATGCAGTTGACCACGTAGGATGTAGCCACCTTAACCATCACGCCACCTAGCTGGCCCACTGTTGTAATTTGTTGATTCTTTGCTGTACTCCAGAATAATTTAGTGAATGTATAATTTTGTTTTTGAATTTCCAAGTAATGACTAAAGTATGATGAGCTTAAAAGCAATGGAAGTCCACTTCTTTAAGAGGAGAGAATAGTGCAAGGCAAATGAGATGTAACCCAATAAGCAAATGAAAATATCGAACTCCTCATACCAAAAGCGGAATACATCCAATAAAATGCAGGGCAGGCCCTTGTAACTGATAATCAGCCTCCTGTGGGATAAACAGAGATTCACTTCACCCTGAGCAATCGGTCCCTGCCTCCTGCTGCCCAATGACAGAGGCCTAGAAAGCCCCTGCCCAATAGAAGCAGACCTCTGGGAAAGTGTGGCCTACTCCTGAAGTTGGAAACAATGGCTCAGCAATAACCCTGAACAAATTAAGAGGGAAAGAAGTGATTTCTTTCTCTCTCTCTCTCTCTCTTTTTTTTTTTTGGTAAGAATTATTTAACTTTATTTATTTATTTAAATTTGAGCAGGGAGGGACAGAGTGAAAGACCGAGGGAAAGTGAGAAAGCAAGATCCCCCAGGTCCAGGACTTGAACCATAGTCAGCCATATGGGAGTCCAGTGCCCCAACCACCATGCCACTTGCGGGTCCCAAGAAGTGGGTTTCTTTATGTGAGGATACAATGGAACCCTTCCCAAGCCTCAGGTGGAAGACATCTAGGAAAATATACTTTTCCATCATCAAAAAACATAGCTCACAGAGCCATTTCCTGGCCAATTCAGGAGGTATGAATACTTATACTACAGTTCCATATAGACCATTACAAGCCATGGTGATTAAGGCAGTTGGACCCCACAAGGCCAACTATGAGGTTTGAGTCCCAGACCTGGTGGCTTGAAAATCCCACCGGATATGGGGCCAGCAGGTGGCATGGTTAAGGATGCTAAACTCTCACATGGCTGACCACAGGTCAAGTCGCAGACCTAGCAGCTTACTTTCTCACTTTCTCTCTCTCTCTCACTCTGTCTCTCTCTGATCAAAGTAAAATTAATTAATCAATTAAAGGTAAAGAAAATAATTCTTTAAAAAAAGAAAGAAAGAAAATCACATACATGGGTGTGTGTGCCCAAAATCCTGAGAGGAGAATAGAGGAGAAGGGATTGTGGTGTGGCCATTTCCCTCTAGGGAGTGAAAAATGGAAATCTTTCTCCCTCTGGCAAGCGCATGCTCTTTGTGACAAATAGACACACAAAAAAACATCTTTCATCAGACACAGTGGGGCAGTCTGCAAGAACTGAGGTCCTGGAGAACTCTTCAGTCAGGAAGAACAGGCACTAACATCTGTCAGTGGCATACTGTCAGTGGGATGTGAAGTGTTAGTAAACTTAAAACAAACCTAAACTTCGCACTCATAAGTGGCAGAATTGGTGTCAGCATGGCAGCCTGATCAGTGAGATCCTTTTCCCCAAGGTTGGTGGCTATAGACGGCACAGCCAATGGAAGTGTGACTGCAATGAGGCCCAGCACCCTGACCCAGCCCAGCGATGCCAGAGTCCAAACAGCATATGCAGTCTTTTTTAAAATTTTTTTTGGAGAGATTTTTTTTTTCACTGTAGGGCGCGTGCGCTCGCCAGACAGACAGAGAGAGACAGAGAGACAGAAAGAGAGAAATCACCCCCCAAGGGGGATGGTCACGCCGCAATCCCTTCTCCTCCATTCTCCTCTCGGGATCTTGGGCACGCACGCACACGCGCCTGGCGTGAGTTTTAAGCCACCGGGTCCGGGACACGAACCGCGGTCGACTACGTGGGAGTCCAGCGACATAGCCATTACGCTAACTGCTGGTTTCCGGCATATGCAGTCTTGAGGTGACTAGCAGTAAGTTTAAGGGGAGGTTTTGTGTCATGACTATTTCAGAGGAAACAGACAACAAAGAAAACGTGTCACCTCAGGTGACCAAGTAACAGAAGGCAGAACCAAAATCAAGTTACAGTCTGTCAGACCCAATTCGTTTTCTTTCTTTTCTTTTTTTTTTTTTTTTGAGAGGTTTTTGCTATAGGGCACGTGCTCTTGCCAGACAGACAGAGAGAGAGAGAAAGAGACAGAGAGACAGAAAGCGAGAAATCACCCCCCTGGGGTGATGGTCACGCCGTAATCCCTTCTCCTCCATTCTCCTCTCAGGATCTTGGGCACACACATACATGCCTGGTGTGAGTTTTAAGCCACCAGGTCTAGGATGTGAACCACAGTCGACTACATGGGAGTCCAGCGACATAGCCATTACGCTAACTGCTGATCCCAACCCAATTCTGTGTTTGCTTTACCCACTAGGAAAAAAAATTACAAAAGCATCTTTAATTTTGAAATCTGAATGAAGTAAAATTACAGGGACAGGGGTCAGCAGGTGGTAAGGCACTAGACTCTCACATGTCCAACCACAGTTTGAGTCCTGGACCTGGTGGCATGCTTTTCCACTTTCTCTCTCTCTCTCTCTCTTTGGTGAGTACACATGCCCGATAGCAAATTAATAATAATAATAATAATAATAGGGGCCAGCAAATAGCATAGCAGTTATGGCGCTGGACTCCCACAAAGCTGACTGCAATTGGAGTCCCAGACCTGGTGGCTTGAAACACCAGGCACATGTGTGTGCATGCCCAATACCCAGGAGGAGAATGGAGAAGGGATTGCAGTGTGGCCATCTCCCGTGGGAGGGTGATTTCTCACTTTCCCTCTCACTGTCTCTTCTCTCTCTCTGGTGAGAGCATGTATCCTAAGGCAAAAACATCTAAAATAGTAATAATAAAATTAAATTAATAATTTTTAAAATTCAACTTTATTTATTTATTTTTAATTTGACCAAAGGGGGATATAGAGAGAGAGTGAGAAAGAGAGAGTGAGAAAGCAAGCCACCAGGTCTGGAACTCAAATCGCGGTAGGCCATGTGGGAGTCCA